TTGTGGAACAAGCTATAGGCCCTAGTTGAAGAGCACTGACTGGTTGATACATGTATGAAATATTGAGAAAGATACAATTTTGTTGAGTAGGATTTACCAGCTAGTAGTTAGGAAAAGAGAGATCAGATGGTTGAAGTGATTGGAAGTTTGGGGATTTAAATGATAAGTGCTTTGGAAGAATAAGGGGATAAAAATGCGGGAAGCGCCAGTAGCAAGGTGATTGATGACATCTGTCAAGTGTTTAGGCTGCACGGGAAGGTGACAATGGAGAAAGGCAGTGTGGAACAGGCAAGACTGAGAAATTGCAGGTCTTAAACAACATGTGGTTTGGTAGAAAAGAATTGAGAGGGCTGGGTGCGGTGGCTCAAGCTTGTAATCCCAGCACATTGGGAAGCCGAAGCGGGCGGATCACTTGAGGTCGGGAGTTCGAGACCAGCCTGGCTAACGTGGTGAAACCCCGTCTCTACTAAAATACAAAAAATTAGCCAGGCTTGGTGGCAGTCGCCTGTACCCCAGCTATTCGGGAGGCTGAGGCAGGAGAATCGCTTGAACCTGGGAGGCAGAGGTTGCAGTGAGCCGAGATAGCACCATTGCACTCCAGTCCAATTGACAGTGCGAGACTCTGTCTCAAAAAACAAAACAAAACAAAACAAAACAAAAAAGAATTGAGAGAACTGGAAGGGTAGATAACTATCATCAGAGAATGGGATATTGAAATTGAAGGGAAGTTGGCAGTAAAAGTAAAAGGAAGAACTGCATGCCAGAATATGTCAGCTAATCAGAGGAGCATGAGTGGATGACATTTTCTTCACTGAAATCCAATATAAGCTGGGTTCCAGAATATAAGATTTCAACATTAATAAATAAGTAAAATTAAAATGTCACTATATCTTTTAATTTAAGAAATGTGTGCTCCCCTCCTAGACTAAATCCGTTGAAAAGAAAGAACTATTATATCTTACACATTTGCATCATTTTTTCTATTATTTAACATAATTCTTTGTATGTATTAGACACTCAGATAATTGTAGAATATTTGAAAGGGAACAAAAATATATAAAATTTGTGTCATGAGATAATATATTAGATATATTTGAATAGATAAGTATATGATTAAATTTTATTCCATAATACATTCAGTATAAAACTTCAAAATGAATTTCTTATTTATGTGCTAAGCTTTATTTTGTTTTCAAACTTAATTTAATTTGCTTATTGTGGTATCTACAGTCATTCTGAAATGGCAGTTTTTTCGGACTTCTCTCTTTCAATTCACATACATAAAAGTTTGAATAAGTTTCTAATATAGAGAAATGTGAGTGGTGTGTTTGGCATAGATTAATTGAATCCCAACTTCATAATAAATTAACTTTTATTTACATAAGCTGATCCTTAAAATCATATATCTATGTACTGTATGCACCATTTTACTTCATGTATATCTGTTAATTATAATGAAAACTAACATTTGAGTAATGTCAGTGTCAGGTACTGCTCCAGTTTACATAATTTACTCATTTTTCCTCTCACAACAACCCAATGAACATGTGCTATTATTTTTCTTACTTTACAGATGAGGAAACAGTAGAGAGGTTAACTAATTTGCCCAAAGTCACAAAATCAGTGAATGAATTCAAACCTAGGAGATCTAGTGTTCAAGATATTAACCACCACTACAGTATAGACATATGAATACAAATGCCGACATGTTTATCTTCTATTGCTTGTTTGAGTGTTTGTTTTCTTTACCTTAAAATTCCTGAGATCAAGGACACTGGCTGGTAAATGGCATCTTATCAATAAGTATTTTATGAACAAATAAATGAATGAGCTTCTGACTTTACAGGATAATTTTGCTATTTCCTCCAAAGTTTCCTATTAGTTTACAACTAACACTCTTGGCTTTTCCTTCAAGTCCATTCCAGTTATTATTTGGGTGATTTGTTATGAGACATGTTATGACATTTTAAGCCTTTACATTTAAAACGTCATTCTTTTGCTGAGACAAAAATGATCTCTTCTCCTCCTCCTCCTGCCAAAAGAATTGCAGATTAAGTGTTTACATGAGGGGAGTTTGTAATCCAGGATTTCTGCAGCAGCGGGCTTCAAATATTCTAGGCAAATCCTGCTTTTTGTTCAACTCTTCCTGATGAGTGTTGTGATAAAAGCTTCACCTTGGCATCTATTAGTCATCGAGTGCTTACTTTGAGAATGGTTGCTATCATCATTTACTCTCTAAACAGGTGCCACCTAGTTACTTTTGTTTTGGCAATTATGGGTTAAATACATTCCTGAGCCTAGTCCTGCTTAAGCTTGCTAGTTCTCTATTTTAAATTAAGGCATGGTAGGTTATTTCTTTCAAGAGTAAAGGTTTCTTTAAGCAGGAATCTTTCAAATTACTCATTTTTTTTCTTGTTTTCTGTAGATGAATCTTTCACTGTTCAGCCTTGCTTTACTGCACCTGGCTGACAAAACTGCATTACATTGCAGTTAACAATGGCTAATGATTAAAAAGGGCTTATATTTTATTCTTAAAATGTTGCTCTCTTTTAAGATGCTTATTTGACTATTCTTCCTTACTACCTTGCTACCATTCTTTTAAGTATTTACTTTCAGTCCATGGAATTAATGTCAATTTATAAAGAGCTGTTCCACTGAGGAGTTTTTGAATTATAAATATATTATGCAAGGATCCCGTTTTTTGCTACCGTTTTTTAGGTCCAGTAATTCCTTAGCAAATAATTCTGTATTGGATTAATACATTTGTTAGCAATTACTTGATAGGAGAAAACATGTTGAACTATTACTTTAAAGCTACTTATTTTATATATAATTACCCTGAATGTCTCCTTTCTAGCACTTTTTCTCCATGTGATATGCCTGTTGTTCATCAAGTTAGAAATAGTCCATGGGGCAATTAAAATTACTTTCCCAATTGATAAAGAAGAATAGAGGATGGAATTTTAGATTAATGAGCAAAAACACTCAGTACCTATTGAAGTGACCATATGTTAGGAAGTAGTCAGAGTCAGGAATTCTATCTCACCCACTTTTGTTTCACCAAAATCTAGTACAATCGCAGACCTTCTTCCCCTCCACCGCCATCCCATTTGTTTCCTCCTTTCTTCCCTTCCTGCAATTGAGACATAGGATTTTAGAGTCTAGGACAGAGATAAAACTGGAGATGTGAATTTGAGAGTGGCCTTAATATAAATGGTAGTTAAGATTATGAACTGGAGGACATTACCTGGGGTGTTTAGAGGATAAATCAGCAAAGGAAACTTGGAAGGAATAGTCAGTGGAATAGAAGGCAAACAAGCAGCGAGTTTTCAAATCAGCCAAAGAAGTGACTTGAAAAGGGGAAGAGGCCAGACACGGTGGCTCATACCTGTAATCCCAATACTTTGGGAGGATGAGGCAGGCAGATCACTTGAGGTCAGGAGTTCGAAACCACCCTGGCCAACATGGTGAAACCCCGTCTCTACTAAAAATGCAAAAATTAGCCAGGGGTGGTAGCACATGCCAGTAGTCCCAGCTACTCGAGTGGCTGAGACAGGCAAATCACTCAAACTCATGAGGCAGAGGTTGCAGTGAGCCAAGATCACACCACTGCACTCCAGCCTGGGCTACAGAATGAGACTCCATCTCGAAACAAAACAAAACAAAACAAAACAAAACAAACAAAAAAAAAACAGAGTGGGGGGTGGTGTAGAAAATAGTCAACTATGACACATGCTTTTAAGAGGGAGACAAAAATTAAGGAATAAGAATTGGCTATTAAATTTGACTCTAAGTACTTGGAACAAAGGCCTGATTGGAGTGAGATGAAAAAAAAATTGGAAGTGAGGAATAAAGATGGTGACTTTAGATACCTCTTTTGAGAGATATGATTGTAAAGGAAAGCAGAGAAGTGAGTGATAGCTGGAAAATTTAAGTTATAGGTGGGCGTATTTTAAACAGTGGGCAATTTAAAAATTCACATGTAAGCCAATATAAATAATACGACATAGACAAGGAAGAATGAGATGATGCAGAGAGGGGTGTAATAATTACAGGAGAGTAATTACTACATGGATAAAAAGAGTAGGATTCACAGTACAGTTTGATCAGTTGGCATTAGATGGAATGGACACTTCTTCCATCGTGACGTCAGCAGAAACAGTGTTTCCTTCAGCTGTGCACTTCGGATCTGGTGATGGAAAGATGAAGTAGGTCTCATCTGATATCTTCTATTTTCTCAATGAAGTATGAGTAAGATGAAATGTTTGAAGTGGAGGAAAGTGATGTAAAAGGCTTATGGAAAGGAGAGAAGCTATAGCAATAGTCATTTAGGAGAGTGAAAAGTAGACTTTGTTGCAAATGTCTGATTTCAACATTGAGCTGCCGCAGGAAAACATGCAAATCTGCTTTAAAGAAGTAAAGTACCCTTTTCTGGGTACTTATCAAGTGCCACATCTTTAATTGTAGGCCATATTATGTCAGCACCATTATTTCTCTACTGTGATTCAGAAACCTAGGAATTTCTTTTATCTTGCTCTTCATCTCATTGTTCATTTAGACATTTTGAACATATTTTATTTTTCACTTCCATGTTTCTGTGTTGGAGGAGAGACTTCCAAATGTTTTCAAGGGAAATAAAGGTAGAACTTACACTTCACTTCTCTGATTCTCTGTTTTACTGTTTATAAAATGGGAGTAATACTATCTATGTACAGATTTGTGGTTGAGAATTAGAGATGGTATGTATAAAATACTGACCCATAATAGGCAATCAACAAATGAATATTGTAATTTTATTACCACTAAATATTATTCTTCCACCCAGAGAATAAAAAGATCTTGCTTCCTGTTTAAAATACAACTTTAACTTGGCACAGTGTTTCTAAGTTTCTTACGCATTAATTTGGTTGGAACATAAAATATTTTACTGAATGATATTTTGTATTTTGGGCTTTACAATGTTTTTAGGGCCTTGGTAATGTAATACTTGAGAAAGAATAGACTTCAAACAGAAAATTTATTTCCTCATGAGATTTTATTTTTATTACACAAATAAAATTATAATGAATAATGTAATTTGAAAAGCCCAAACAATAATAACAGTGAGGAGGGAAAATGGAGTAAAAAAGACAAAACGTAACTTGAAAGGGATTTTTGGAAAATGTCGTAATATTATCCACATCCTCTTTGTTTATTAATAATGTTGCTGAAGACAGCTGTGTTTTGTAATCAAGCATTGTATCAATTTGAGTAACTAATACTAAGAAATGCTAATAACTCGATTGTTGCATCAATCATTTTTGTCAAATTAGCATAACCATGCCCATGCCCATACTCTGTGTTCACTAAAGCAATATAGATACTACCAAAACCATCATCCAATGCCTAAAGGATACACATGAGATATTAACATAGTGAATCTTCATTCAATATCTTCTTCTTCTATTTTGGTATGCTCTAGGGCATGTACCTCTCTTTCAGGTAGTAACCCATATTCATTTAGGAAAGACTCCACATCCCCAGCAAAAAATTCTTCAGCAAACTGATCAGCAACACTAATAAAATTGCTTATGAGTTCCCCACCTTTATAGATGAGCAATGTAGGAAGTACATCTAAGGAAAAGCGGTCTCCAGCACCTGTATTCGAAGCTTTTATTTTACAAAACTTAACTATAGGGTATTCTGCTGCAAGACATGTTAAACTACTGTTTAGAGCATCACAGCCCTTAATACCATCTTCATAAATGTGAACAACTATTGTGGTGATCTTCTGTTCCTTTTCAATTGTTTCTAGGAATTGCTCTCCAGTTTCCAGCTCATACACAAACCCATATCTAGGCCCAAAACTCAGCTTCTGGTGCATATCCTGCATACACTGTCTACGGTATTTACGAAGGCAGTTTTCATCCTCTTTCTCTTTATGGATTAGTTCATATTCTTGAATGCTCATCTGAGAATAAAGAAATGATAGAAATTATTAAGTCAGAAGTTTTATTCCTTAGATATACCAAGCCCATTCTCAACCAAAGGAGTTTACTTTTGCTCTTTTCTCTGCCTGGACTACCTTCCTTTCACTCCTGATGTGCCTTTCTCTTTCACCTCATTCAAGCTTTTGTTTAAATGTCACCTTCCTTGATTACTTTACTTAAAAAAGTCCCCATCTCACGCTCTCCACTCTTTATGCTGGTTTATTTTCTTTATAGCAACAAACACTATTATATCTTATAACTTACTGATTTTTTGGAATATGGGGGATGGAATTCAAGTAAGACAGCTTTTCCTACTATTTGGAGTTCATCAGATCATCCAAGAGGTTAATTTTTGGACCAGCAGCATCAGCATCACTTAGGAACTTTTTGGAAATGCAAATATTTGGGCACCACCCTAGGTTTACTGAATTAGAACCTATAAGACCGAGGCTAAGTAATCCATATTTTAACAAACCCTCCAGGTTATTATTATTCACTAGTTTGGGCTGAAGTAAGAAAAGGCCCAAATTCCATTTTCTAAGATAGCTACTTTTCCTTACAGTTGGAATATAAAGTTACCTGCAAGGCCTTTCATAATAGCTACTCCATTATTAATGTATTTAACAGAATATTAAGTAACCGTTCCCCCAGCCAAAAAAGGAAAAAAGATAAAAAGGAACAATGGGACATAGTGTGATTAATAGATGTGGAGCAGCTCAGAACCATGCAAGTTAGATGGTTCCCATGTGGGATCATCTGCTGCCTCTTATTCATGTAACCTCTCAAACAGCAAATGCTATCAATTTTTAAAGTAGAGGAGAATTGAGAACACATGAAACTAATGTTTATGAAAAACATTCATAAGTGTTGGGCACGTCACATAGATTATGTTATCTAATCCTTACAAATAACCTCTGAGATAGGTATCATTAGTGTCATTTTACAGAAGACACTGAGATTTAAGTTAAGTAAAAGTTTATGATGCTTTCATTACTTCTTTCTTTTGTTTCTGTTTCTTATATTTGTTTCCCTAATGTCCTCATTATTTTCCTTATCATATTTTTTTCTGTTTTAAGATTACTGTCCCAGGATGGGTATGGGAGTTCATGCCTGTAATCACAGCACTTTGGCAGGCCGAGGAAGGTGGATTGTTTGAGCCCAGGAGAACAGACTGGGCAACATGGTGAAGCTCCATCTCTACAAAAATGGTGGCGCATGCCTGTAGTCCCAGCTACTTGGGAGGCTGTGGCAGGAGAATCGCTTGAACCCGGAAGGTGGAGGTTGCAGTGAGCCAAGATTGTGCCACTGCACTCCAGCAGGGGTGACAGAACGAGACTCTGTCTCAAAATAATAATAATAGTAATAATAATAATAATAATAATAATAATATTGTCCCAATTTAGTTTTAACCCTAAAAATTTCCAGTGTTTTATATAATTTTTATGTTGCTGCTATAGTTCTGTTAATTTAACAGACCAAACCACACAAATTTGACTTGAAGATGTATTTGAGTATTTATATGAAAACTTGTTTCATTCACATATTCAGGCATATAGATATGTAGGCATTCAGATACATTTCCAAAATTTAACCTTGGCATAAAATTTTTAATAATGATTATGTGTCACATTAGTGTAGTATTTTACATGTTTCAACATAGTTTTACATTTATTTTTTATTTATATGTTTTCAAAACAAGTGGAGCAGGTTTGTTATGATTCCCCAGATGGAATTTTCTGTATTTTGCTTTCTCATATTGTGAAACTACCTCTAGATCAACTCATGTATTTGTAACTAATTCTTTCCATAACTGTAGGTATTCTTGGTATGGAAGGCCACAATAGGCATTCACTTCATTTCCATTTTTTTTTGCCAGCATAAGCAATATTGTAATCAATATATTTTGTAATAGTCTAAAATGATTCTCTAGATTGATTTAGATTAGAAAACACATTGTAAATTATTTATTACTGATTTTTGTATTATCTTACCTTTCTGCTGACTCGTTCCTTTGAATCTTTGCCATTCCTACTCTGAGGAGAAGACATTTGCCTGAGAATCTCCTTCTTGCTAGGTGGGATTGAATCACTGTCTTGACTCTCTAATTTAAACTTTCTCCAGTCGTTTATTACTCCTTTAGGTCCTGGAATGAAATGAAAAATAAATTGTTTTCCTTTATATTTTCAAAAGGACTATTGGGATAACTGAAATTTGTATAAGTATTGTCATGGAATAAACTTATTATCTCCTGCATCAGAAACAAACATCTTGTTTGGACTAGAAATTTCTGACTGCCCTGCTCGTAAAAATATGCTCCCACATTAATCTTGTTAAATGGGTTTTGATAAAGAATCTTTTGGAAACATTTGCACTAATGAAAATATAAATTATGCACTTTGAACTACTGGCAAAAGGTTGGGGTTAATATGTTTAAAAATTAGAGTCCAGGTAGGAGACTAGAATTTTGGAAAAAATAGCACTTTTATTACCTAAGAAAAAAACTTCAGCAACAAACTAAAATTGGCATTACAGTATTAATAAAGGAAACCAGGAGTGTTGGGGAAACAAAATAACAATAGTATGTAAAGAAGAACTGGTGAGCAGGGGGCCTGACCTCAATAAAACTAAAATGGCTTTAGGAAAATTATTATGAGACCATCCCATTCTTCTAAGATTCTAGGAATATTTTACAAACATAGAAAGAATAGGATGGGCAGATTTTTTTTTTTTTTTTTTTTGAGATGGAGTCTTGCTCTGTTGCCCAGGCTGGAGTGTAGGGGTGTGATTTGGGCTCACTGCAACCTCCACCTCCTGGGTTCAAGTGATTCTCCTGCCTCAGTTTCCTGAGTAGCTGGGGCTACAGGTGCATGCTACCATGCCCGGCTGATTTTTGTATTTTTAGTAGAGATGGGATTTCACTATGTTGGCCAGGCTGGTCTTGAACTCCTAACCTCAAGTAATCTACCCACCTCAGTCTCCCAAAGTGCTGGGATTACAAGTGTGAGCCACCATGCCCGGCCAGATTGGCAGATTTAAGTAAAACTAATTAAATGAAGAATGATTCAACTGGAATTCTGATATTCAGTTGACCTGATGACTAACAACATTATTCACTTAAGAAAGTCTTAAATTCTTTAAAACAAGGAATATTAAACTGATTATCATTCACTAAAGCTTAGCTATAGCCACACCTTCAATGTCTGTATTCTATATAGTATTCTATATGTGGATGTATTCCTTCTTTCTCCTCCATATTACCTAATAATTTTTATTTGTTATATATATGGTATATATTTAATATAAATTTGTTATGAATGTATGTATATTATATGCAGGCAATCAAAGCTTTTGGTTTTCCCATATAGTGTTCATATCAGTATTTTTAGATAAGTTTTATGCATATTTAAAATATACACGTGTACATGTTTGTTTAAAAAAGAGAATCCATTTTGTTCCTGTTTTCTACAAATGGTGGTGTATTATATGCATTTTTCCTTACCTTGTTTTTTCTGTTTCATACTATATCTTGGAGAATTTTTTGGTATACACACATAAAGAGGTTCTTCCTTAATTAGAAAATGGAGGCATGGTGTTCCATTGTGTAGATATACATAATTGACTTAAACAGTTTTGTAGTGATCTACATTGTTGTTTCCAGTTTTTTCTATGACATATGACGCTGAGTGAAGAATCTTGTGCATACATTTTTAAAACTCTGTGCAGGTATAGTTATGGTTATATAAGTAAAATTCCCTGGTCAAAGGGCATATACATTACTCATTTTGATATTGCTAGGTTGCCCCTACAGAGATTGTACCGGTTTACACTGCTATCAGCAATGTATGAGGGTGCCAAAAATGTGTTATTAAACTTAATTACTTTCACTATAGTTTTTTGTGTTACTATTTTCTTTTTCTTTTTTTCCCCCATGAATAGGCTGTCCTATCTTTTGCTCATTGTTCTATTTGGTAATTGGTTCCTTTTCTTATCAATTTGTAGGAGCTCTTCATATATACTAGGAAACTGACACTGTCGATTGAGTTGCAAATGTTTTTCCCCTATTTGTTAAATGCTTTTTGACTTTTGTTCATGGTGACTTTTACCAGACAGCAACTATTTCTTCCTTTTTTTCCCTGTCTCCCACTTTCCCTCCATCCCTTCATCCATCCGTCCGTCCTTCCTTTTTATAAATGAATTTACCAACCTTTTCTTCAGTGGTCTTTTTGTTGTTGTTTTTGTTTTTGTCATACTTAGGAAGGTATTCCTCACATTGCTATTATAAAATAAATCTCCACACATTTTGTCTGGTAGTCTTGTGAATTCTTTCAAGCTTCTGGCTAAATTTAATGGCTCAATCCAAATTAAAAGAGAGAGGAAATTACCATTCAAATAAGATTCAATAGAGTTAAATCGGAATTTTTAAATTTAAGTCGTGATATTTAAGTTTTTTTAAAAAAATTTATTTATTATTATTATACTTTAAGTTGTAGGGTACATGTGCATAACGTGCAGGTTTGTTACATATGTATACTTGTGCCATGTTGGTGTGCTGCACCCATCAACTCGTCATTTACATCAGGTATAACTCCCAGTGCAATCCCTCCCCCCTCCCCCCTCCCCATGATAGGCCCCAGTGTGTGATGTTCCCCTTCCCGAGTCCACGTGATCTCATTGTTCAGTTCCCACCTATGAGTGAGAACATGCGGTGTTTGGTTTTCTGTTCTTGTGATAGTTTGCTAAGAATGATGGTTTCCAGCTGCATCCATGTCCCTACAAAGGACACAAACTCATCCTTTTTTATGGCTGCATAGTATTCCATGGTGTATATGTGCCACATTTTCTTAATCCAATCTGTCACTGGTGGACATTTGGGTTGATTCCAAATCTTTGCTATTGTGAATAGTGCCGCAATAAACATACGTGTGCATGTGTCTTTATAGCAGCATAATTTATAATCCTTTGGGTATATACCCAGTAATGGGATGGCTGGGTCATATGGTACATCTAGTTCTAGATCCTTGAGGAATCGCCATACTGTTTTCCATAATGGTTGAACTAGTTTACAATCCCACCAACAGTGTAAAAGTGTTCCTATTTCTCCACATCCTCTCCAGCACCTGTTGTTTCCTGACTTTTTAATGATTGCCATTCTAACTGGTGTGAGATGGTATCTCATTGTGGTTTTGATTTGCATTTCTCTGATGGCCAGTGATGATGAGCATTTTTTCATGTGTCTGTTGGCTGTATGAATGTCTTCTTTTGAGAAATGTCTGTTCATATCCTTTGCCCACTTTTGGATGGGGTTGTTTGTTTTTTTCTTGTAAATTTGTTTGAGTTCTTTGTAGGTTCTGGATATTAGCCCTTTGTCAGATGAGTAGATTGCAAAAATTTTCTCCCATTCTGTAGGTTGCCTGTTCACTCTGATGGTAGTTTCTTTTGCTGTGCAGAAGCTCTTTAGTTTAATGAGATCCCATTTGTCAATTTTGGCTTTTGCTGCCGTTGCTTTTGGTGTTTTAGACATGAAGTCTTTGCCCATGCCTATGTCCTGAATGGTACTACCTAGGTTTTCCTCTAGGATTTTTATGGTATTAGGTCTAACATTTAAGTCTCTAATCCATCTTGAATTAATTTTCCTATAAGGAGTAAGGAAAGGATCCAGTTTCAGCTTTCTACTTATGGCTAGCCAATTTTCCCAGCACCATTTATTAAATAGGGAATCCTTTCCCCATTTCTTGTTTCTCTCAGGTTTGTCAAAGATCAGATGGCTGTAGATGTGTGGTATTATTTCTGAGGACTCTGTTCTGTTCCATTGGTCTATATCTCTGTTTTGGTACCAGTACCATGCTGTTTTGGTTACTGTAGCCTTGTAGTAGAGTTTGAAGTCAGGTAGCGTGATGCCTCCAGCTTTGTTCTTTTGACTTAGGATTGTCTTGGAGATGCGGGCTCTTTTTTGGTTCCATATGAACTTTAAAGCAGTTTTTTCCAATTCTGTGAATAAGCTCATTGGTAGCTTGATGGGGATGGCATTGAATCTATAAATTACCTTGGGCAGTATGGCAGTATCCCTGATGAACATCGATGCAAAAATCCTCAATAAAATACTGGCAAACCGGATTCAGCAACACATCAAAAAGCTTATCCACCATGATCAAGTGGGCTTCATCCCTGGGATGCAAGGCTGGTTCAACATTCGCAAATCAATAAACATAATCCAGCATATAAACAGAACCAAAGACAAGAACCACATCATTATCTCAATAGATGCAGAAAAGGCTTTTGAAAAAATTCAACAGCCCTTCATGCTAAAAACGCTCAATAAATTCGGTATTGATGGAGCGTACCTCAAAATAATAAGAGCTATTTATGACAAACCCACAGCCAATATCATACTGAATGGGCAAAAACTGGAAAAATTCCCTTTGAAAACTGGCACGAGACAGGGATGCCCTCTCTCACCACTCCTATTCAACATAGTGTTGGAAGTTCTGGCTAGGGCAATCAGGCAAGAGAAAGAAACCAAGGGGATTCAGTTAGGAAAAGAAGAAGTCAAATTGTCCCTGTTTGCAGATGACATGATTGTATATTTAGAAAACCCCATTGTCTCAGCCCAAAATCTCCTTAAGCTGATAAGCAACTTCAGCAAAGTCTCAGGATACAAAATTAATGTGCAAAAATCACAAGCATTCTTATACACCAGTAACAGACAAACAGAGATATTTAAGTTTTTTAAGCTCTTAGGAGTGGCATATAGATAGCCAAACATAATTTAACAGATTAAGAAAACAGACTCTGGATCAAATGAAGTGTTAGGTTTTCTGGAGGAATACTGAAATTTATTTATTCAAAAAAAAATAAAGGGAATATCTTATCATTCCTTTTTTTGTGTGTGTGATTAGAAAACTGAAATTAAAGGCCATTTAGTTACCTTTTGGTCTAACCTTGTTTACAGTGAAAGTTTGTAGTGAGGGTGGGGTATAATCAGGAGAGAGGAAAGTGACTTAATTATAGTGTAGATAAGAGGTCTTGTGATAGTTGGTCAGCAAGAAATTACCAATAAGTAGTGTTTTTTTTTACTCTTTGACATCTAAATAAAACTGTTAGGAATTATTTGATTTCAAAAACTAATTTGTCCACTCAAACATTTTTTAGATTAGTCTAACAATTTATATAAAGATATTACTTAAAGTACATACTGAATAATGTCAATAAGAACATTAGATATTGCCATATTTAATTTTAAGTTAATAATTATTTTTTCTTCTTGCTTTGCTTGCCTGTATGTGTGGCCTGTCCTTCAAAGTCTTCCTCCAAACTTTGACTTCTGGCTTCTTCCATTTTAGGGATTCGATTTGATATAATCTATAGGAGGAACAAAGAAATAATAATGACACAAGAATTCCAGGATGTACATACATATATATATACACACACACAGATAAATATATAGGTATATGCATATTTATAGTCTCCTGCTGCCAGATTCCATAAGTAGGCTAAGGATAATCACTCAGTGATAAAGTATTTAGAATGTTTCTGTCCACAATGTAAAAGGACATTAATTTAACATGTATTATTAAAGATGTCTGGACTTAAGGATTTTATATAATTCATCATTTGTCTTTTCTTAACTCAAGTGTTCCAGTTAAGTCTATGTGGTTAGTGAACATTATTTATTACTGATTTTCCAAATTTCATAATACTATGTGAAATTTGAATATATAAGAAGTAATATATGTTATTTATTTCATATAATAAAATTAAATTAATAATTATATACTTGCTATGAACACTATGTGTCAGGCATTGTTTAAATTATTTTATGTGTCAAAACTCATTTAATTCTCATATAGCCATATGTGGTAGGGACAAATGTTAATGACATGTTATAACTGAGGAAGCTGAAGGGCAGGGAGTTTAAGTTGCTTGCCCAAGATCACACAGTAAGTGGTGGAGCAAAGATTTGAATCTACATTGTCTGACTTTGGAGCCAACTCTTAATCATTACACTATTATGGAAATTAACATACTATAATAGAGTCATTTTTCTCAGTATGATTTGGCAAATCGAATCTTTGAATTGGCATTAAAGAATGAAGGTCTAAGGAACACTATTCAGTAGCATCTCTCCATACCATGGGGCAAGTTTTCATGACAACAGTATCCACCAAGCAAATGAAAATAGCCAGTAGCTAAGCCTATAGCATTTTTTTTTTTTTAAGTTTTTTGAGAGAGGGTCTAACTCTGTTTTCCAGGCTTCATTCAGTACAATGGTGCTATCTTAGCTCACTGCAGCCTCAAACTCCTGGACTCAAGTGAGTCCACGTCAGTCTCCTGAGTGGTGGGGACTACAGGTGTGTGCCACCATGCCCTGCTAATTATTTTTTTATTTTTTGGTATGTTGCCCAGGCTAGTGTCGAACTTCTGGCCTCAAGTGATCCTCCCACCTTGGCCTCTCAAAGTGCTGGGATTATAGGAGTGAGCCCACACTCTGCCAGTTTATAGTATTTTTGACAGGCTAAAATAGAAAATCACTAAAAGCACTTGGATTTTTATTCATATGAAACTCCTTGGTGCCCTCATGTAGAATCTATTTATTCCTTCATTCTATCTGGTTCACACTCAAATCAAATATGTTTCCTATTTTAGCTTTGGACTATCTGGAAAACTCAATTATTATACAAACTAACATATTCCCTCAAGTGTTCATATAGTTGTGATTTTCCTGAAGTTTTCAAGTCAGGGAGGATATACTAACAGTAGATAAATTATCTTATTTTTACACTTTATTCTTTCACTTTTTTGGCTTTGCCTCCTTCTTTCGAAGTCAGTTTTAGGCACTAATATCGCACAGCTTATACTTTGAAACTCATCTTAGTTTTCTGTTGATTTACACTTCAATCCTGCATTTAGTTTGTGTGTTGCTTTCCCAAGGCGCAGGTTGGTAAGACAGAACTCTCTCTTAATTTCTCTTCTGCCTTTACCTTTGGTCTCCACACTTGAAGTGGTCCTGTAATTTTGTTTCTCTTTTTGCAATCCCTATCCAGAATCACTGGAGGTCAAATGTCTTTGCCAATTTGATTTTTTCCATTTGAACAAGAAAAGACTGTGAAGGGAAAGCCAATCAATTTCACAATGTTTAGGTAAGTATAAATGTAATAAAGAATATTATATTTGAATGGATTTAGTAATTAAAAAGTATAATGGAAAATGGAAAGTAAAAGCTGCTGGACAGAAAAGCCATTTTATTTCTTACTGCAACTATTTACAAATAAATTTTGATCTGAAAAGACATGAAAATTTATGCTTCAAAAGAAAACTACAAAACAAAGAAATGGAAATTTATTTGATAATTTCAATAGCTTTTCAGTTCTCAGAAAAATAGAGACTCAATCCAGTCTCTTTATTTTTAAGACTGGATTGTTAATTTGGGGTAGCAATGTATATGTATTACTATTCTCAGTAAATATACATAAGTTTAAGGAAATCTAAAAATAATTTTATTTCAAATGCTGAAGATACAGGGCACAGCTTCCTTCTTGAATTGCTTGCTGTTTACCTAGTTGACAATCTACTGGGAAAAATAAATTCCTTTTTCAGATAAAGTTTTCACCAATTTCAAGGAATCCCTTTATGAAAAGATAATCCAGTTACTTAGGACAAAACTTATTTGTTGATTGGATTAATATATGTCGAGAATAGACGATATGCTAGACATTTTCCTGGGCTCTGAATTACATGAACAAAACTCTTCCAGTATGACGCTTACTAATACTAAGACTTAAATCAGCTGGGTTGCCTGTTTAAATCAAGGAGAGAGTCCATCCTTATCTAATACCTCCATTTGAGTTAGAGTACAAGGATTGGCAAACATTGTTACTGTTTACTGCCAGGGAAGCAGTGAATAGATTGAAAGAAAAATATTAAGACATGATTGTGTTTGTTTGCACTGCTTGAAGCACCTAGAGGAAGACACAAGTAGAATATTATTAGCTATTAATAGATTTCATCTACTTTCCTATTAATTTATCCTGTCACCAACTCACTATGGGGTTTTCTGATTGTCCCAAAATCTTATCTTTTTCAAAATGTACATTAATCATACAAGTAATTTTTTAAAAATCTTTTTTAGACAGACTCTCACTCTACTGCCCAGGCTGAAGTGCAGTGGCATAATCTCCCCTCACTGCAACATCTGCCTTCCAGGTTCAAGAATTCTTGTGCCTCAGCCTTCCAACTAGCTGGGATTACAGGCATGGGCCACCACACTTGTCTAATTTTTGTATTTTTAGTAGAGATGGGGTTTTACCATGTTGTCCAGGCTGGTGTCAATCACCTGACCACAAGTGAACTGCCTGCCTTGGCCTCCCAAAGTGCTGGGATTACAGGCGTGAGCCACTGTGCCCAGTTGGTATAAGCAATTTAATTGGAATATTTGCAAGGTGCTTAGATCTCGGCACATAGTATAGTAACTGCTCTAGGAGTCTGTTAGATAAAATAAAAATACATCTTTTACATATGTGTATGCAATGTATCAGTCATTTAAAAATATAAACATTTCATTTACAATGCTATTATTTCGTGGTTAAAAGATTTCATGTCTACTTTAGGCTAAAACATTTAAAATGACAATAGGATTATTACAGGGCTTTGGGTAAGCACATCTTCGTGTGATTAGAAATTGGTAATAAAGTAAGGCAAGAAGACAGAAGGTAAAAATCTTGCCTTCACCAAGATTTACTTTGGTTCAAAAGAATTATTGTATTTTCCACATCACAAAATTATGAAAAACTGTGATTTTGTATTTTTTTAAAAATTTTAAATAGTTATATTACTGTTTCAATTAAAACCTGTAATAAGTAAAAATTGTATATGGATCCTTTGACAGAATAATGAGCATTTAAAAGACTATTATCACCCTCTTCAAAAGTAATAGTAAAAACTAATATTCGGGAGAAACACAGCTTAAAATAGAATTTTACCAAGTTAGGGTTTTATTTTCCTCTTAATTTAGGATTTTAATAATTTTAAATAGTAGTTTATAGAGGATAACACTTCTCAAACCTTGTCCTCAAAATTCTAACACCTCCCAACTATGGCTTAGTAATTACCAAGAAATAAAATGAGACAAATATAAATGGTCCTGCATGTTGTTCCTGTTTCATATATGATAGTGAGGATCTAGAATACAAAGGAAGTGAGTAAAATTTTTAAACCTTAGTTTTAAAAGACTTTTTTTTAAAAAAATCTACTCCTAAACATTTCATTATGATCATTATCCTTGGTCACATGACAATTGTCAGTCACTTCAAACCTGTTTAATCTAATCAGACTATCTAGTTTTCAATTAACTTGTATATTCTCAGGATTGCTTAAGAAGAGCTTAGCTTTCAAGACTAGCTATTGTAGTTTATTGGTAGATTTTCAAATACTTGGAATTATCTAATCACTGTGTGATATAGACTGACTTCTGTCCTGGCATCCACAACAACTTATAGCATTTATTTTTACATGTTTTTCTCCACTATTGTAAATTCTTTGAGGATGGAGGCAATTTTTTACTTGTTGTTGTACCTCTTATAATCATTTCATACATTGTAAATACTTCATAAATGACAGTGGCAAATTTCAAAGAACCTACTATGTGCGGGGTACTCAAGACACTATTTTTAATCCACACAAAATTATTATCCTTGTTTTTCAAGGTGAATTGTAGACTCAGAGATTCAGTGACTTACCAGAGCTCACAGAGGTATAGAGGGGGTATAGAGCCAGGTTTCAAATCTCTGACTCTCAAATCTCCAAAATTTCTATTTTTTCCATTACACCATTCCACTTCAATAAAATGCTTAATGAATGAATGTGTTAACCACAGAAGCCGACCTAATTTTTTTGTATATGCATTAAAACTAAGATGAGGAAATGGAAAGCAATAAATCAATAAGTCACCATGTCTCTAAATTCCTTGAGACAGTACTTATTTGAATGATATATTTTTGCTTTGGATTAAACCTCATTAGTTTATACTGAATGTAATAGGATAGTTTCTTTCTTTCTTTCTTTCTTTCTTTTCTTCTTCCTTTTTTTTGTTTTTTTTTTTTGTTGTTGTTGTTTTTTGAGACAGAGTCTCGCTCTGTAGCCCAGGCTGGAGTGCAGTAGTGCGATCTCACTCACTGTTACCTCTGCCTCCCGGGTCCCTGTTCAAGCAATTCTCCTGCCTCAGCCTCCTGAGTAACTGGGATTACAGGCACACGCCACTATGCCCAGCTAATTTTTGTATTTTTAGTAGAGACGGGGTTTCACCATGTTGACCAGGCCGGTCTTGAACTCCTGACCTTGTGATCCACCCGCCTGAGCCTCCCAAAGTGGTTGCGATTACAGGCGTGAGCCACTGCACCTGGCCTATTTCATGTTAATGGAATTAATTTTAACTGACTAATAACGACTCTGGAACGTCAGTATAAAAGACCTGCTGTTGGTTTTTGACAATCCTATGAATTGATTGAGAACTTATCATCAGTCTTGCATCTCTAGGTCATTTGTAAAAGCAAGTGTAATATGCAGTATGCATCAATTATACATAAAAATAAAGCTAGGAAATGTTCTTTCTAGAACTACTCTTACACGTGGCCAAGTTATGGAAATATTACACTGTGAG